ACATAAAATTTTGTTAAGAGGCAACCAACCTTTACTACTACCACAACTATCTGGTGAACAAAACTAAACAACAAAATTCAAGAATCTCTTTATTTTATGCAAATTAAGTAAGCTATGAGGGCTCATATGTCTGTGAAGGAAAAAAATGCTCTAAAATATAGAACAATTCAAGTTAGTACTTTTGTTCCATTAAGAATTTCAATTAAATGACCCTCATCATATCGAAATATACATTTTATGATTGAATTCTTATAAAATGCACCGTTTGGTGCTGTGAAAACACTTCAATCAAGCTGCCAAATGGATCATTAGTGTAAGAATTATAGTATTTATTGACAGTGAAGAGAAGTTTTTACAATTGAACATATATACATTTTGCTGTAAGTTCCTTTTCCTTTTCATAACTTAAAAGAAAGTTAGAACTGTAAATTTCAAAGTCAATTAAACAATGATGCGTAACTGCAAATTGCCCAGAGTAAAAACCCGTTATAACATTGATACATCCATGATCGAACTTAGATACCAAGGACAATGATTCGACCCTTCTGAGTAGAAGTACTAATCGGTGAATGTATACTTACCAAACAGACAAAACGCTGATGTGAAAATACAAAATGCCAAAACTTGAAATCAATATAATTGCACTTGTTTGCCCCACTGCTGTATGAAGATAGCATTCCAAACATTTAAAACAGTAGACATTGAAACAACTATGATTTAACTTGGAGACAAGGACAAGGTTTCAAACCTTCCAGTCCTTTTCTTACGCCAAACTGTATGTTTTATCTGTGTACCAAGAACGATGACTGCAGGCTGGGCATGGCCATGGCCCTACCTGTTAATTTGATATATAAAGATCTATTCCACTCCAGGAACAGCCATCATCCATGCATGTGAAAATGAGAAAAGAAAAAGTGAGTCAAAAGATTGGAATCTGAGATGGAAAGTGTTTTCTAGAAAATAAAAACAAAATAGCCGAAAATTAGAGAATAAAAAGATATTTTCATTGTCTTCAATGAAAATATGAAAATATCATGACTATCTACAAAAAATGAAAACATGAAACTTTTTTTTTGAGAAGCATGACAACTTTGAAAGCAATAAAATCAAAAATGAATGTAACATTAAGAATCTTGTTAGGTTCTAATTTTCAAATTTTCAGTTCCCTTTTGCACAAGTAACTATTAACCTTCATTGATATTCATTGTTGTCGTAAGTTGAAAATGTAAATACCATACATATATTTATTATTTTTATTTTTGAAAACAATTAATCATTTTCATAAAATAAATGCGTTTTTCAAAATTCAAAAATCAAAAAATAAAAATATTTTCTCAAACCAAACATATAACTAATTTTTCAGATATTAATATATCTTTCAGATGATCAGTTCCTGATACACTTACAAAGGACAGGACATACTTCAGCATAGGAGACAAATTTTACAAAAGAAAATGCCAAGTTTTCAAGGAAGAAGAAGAAGAAGAAGAAGTGAAGAACCATGGCTAGAATACATGAGCCTCACCAAGCAAATAAAAATTTGTAAGAGAGAAAGATTAAAAAAAGTGTGACTAGTGAGCTGGCTGCTGTATATAGCTATAAGTTAAAGCCAACTGTTCCAACTTAACAACAAGAGATTCCTTGTCATTCAAAAGCTGAACAGAGGGAGGAGAGAGATTGCAGCATAGCCAAAGGAAAATATGCAACAATTAAACTAGCCCATCAAAGGGTTAGATAGAAGAAACTGATCTCAATTATATTTGCATGATGATAGACCTTTTTTGACCTTTCTAGCTAGGTTTATGTTGCATATCTTGAGTAGTTCAGCATATGCATATCCAAACAACGCCACCACCAAAAAATTAAGTGCTATTTTTTGTTATTTTCATCATAAATCTAGCATGAAAAAATAAGACTACGATATAACCAGAGATGATTTGCCGATAAATTCTATTAACATTTATTATAACTTTTGTCAATGTATAGTTAAAATTGTTATTAATATTAGTTGATTATTGATATATAGATATATATATATATATATAGATCATGATTTACATGATAATATTAAATATAACTTCGCCGGCAAATCATCCTTGGCTGCACCATATAGTCTGATTTCCACATGCAAGACTTCAGATGAAAAATACTGCCATGTCAATTATTGAATACAACTTTCCACAAAAGAATGATCTGTAACTCTTCCCCAAACAGCCTAAACCAATCACTTAGAACCCACGATGCCATACACTCAGAGAGATAAGAAACTTTCCCAATGGAGAAAAGATAAGACATTCTCTATTTATTTCAACAAAGAAACTAGTATTATTCAAAGAAAAGAGGGTCTGAAAAAACAGGCAGAGAAGAAGAAGCGGATTGGACAAGAAAACTCTCAAGGCAGGGCATGGACGAATGGGGGGTTTGCAGCAAATTGAGTGCATGAGAGCTAGTTTCATGGAGTGGTTTGCATATAAAGAAACTTTCAGTTTAGAGTGATGGGGCATGGCATGGGCGATCAAGAGTAATATAATAAGACTAGCTTTTACACAAGGAAGGCAGCTCTAGAACTGACTACTAGGTGTGTTCCCTTCATCCCTTGTCCATTAGAGTAACAGAAAAAGTGAATAACCGTGAGGCCTCATGGGCTTAGATGTGACTTTGCATGGGTGATAAAACCAAGAGATATTAAACCTAAAGATCTATCCTTATCATCAAAAGTCTGACAGACTTCTGAATTGTTGTTATCTACAGTCATTTAAGAGATATATTACCCTTTACCACCATTTCTTACCTGCTTTGCGGTAATGGATTGCCTGTCCAAAATTTGTACTAAATTGACTGAGGAAGTTGGGTTAGGTGAGTTAATTTACTTCATCTACTAAAACAAAACCTCAGAATCTGAACACTTTGTGGACATCGTAGCTTCTATCCATCTCAAGGGTCCTCTACATGTTCCATCAGTTTGACAAGTGAGTACAATTCATACATGTTCCTATATGTATTTTATTGATTTACATTGATAAATTGACAGTATCATTGATGTTTCAATCAAACACTTCCAACTCTTTCACATGTTTATAGTTTCTTGTCCCTTGTTTAATTAAAAATTTACATTTTATGAATACCCATGGCTCATTTAGTTATGTTCTTGCCTTGACAGGAAGAAATCCTGCGAAGGGTAATGCATGACTCAAAAGATTTCCATTCCTCATTCAGTCATTTACCATAGCAAAAAAAAAAAAAGAAGAAAAACTTTTTATTTTCTGTTATAAGAGGATATAAAAAATTTTTTGGATTTACATTTATAATATATAAAAAGTTATCAACAAATTTATCAATTTTATTAATGAAAAAGATGTTCAGCAAAAATTTTTAAAATATCCAATTTTTTTTTAATTTTTTAAATGTTCAAAGTATCCATGGACATCTTACTTTATGCTTTGAATCCGTCTTTGAATCAACGTCGTTCAATTGGGAATCCTATTGGTAATTTTTAAGAAAAAGACAGTTCATGCTTTGCTGGATTGTTTGCAGCCTTTTTATTCAATGTTTTTACGTATTGTTTCTGTAAGGTCTGCCTCTTCATTGGTAAAGAGAAATCAAAATTCTAAATGTAGGACTGCTGGTCTTTGTGTCCTTGATCAGCCAAAACTTTTGTACAGAAAGAGCAAACAGTGACAAGATTTTGCAGTGATGCAATGGAAGATTATGGTCTGATTTTGCGCATAAACAAAGTACATCCCTCAACTATTGTGGAACACAGCGACCCTGAAATTGACTCGGAGACATTCAAATTAGTAATAAAAATTATTATAATTATGATTAAAAAAATTATTATAATTATATTAAAAAATTATAAAAATTTTATATTAAATAATTTTTTTTAAATTAATATTTAAATTCAATTAATACAATAAATTTAATTATACCATACTAAAAATGAGATAAAAACTAAAGCCCTACTCAATATGAGTTTCTTACTTGCTGCTTTAATTAGAGATAACAATGTCATATATTTTAATCATATTAAATATTAATAATTTATATGTTTATATTATATTTTACACAAAAATTATATATCATATTAATATAAAAAATATATAAGATATTTTTTTATTTTTAATAAATTCAGATATAACTTTTATTAAAATTTTAAATCACGATACTTTAATAATATTTTTTCTGTCTTATTTGTGTTTTAAATCACCAAGTTTAGCTTTAGTAATCAGTACTCTCAAGGAAACACAGTTACCAGCCCTAAAACCCCTATAACTGAGCTTTTCTCATGTACTTGTTTTTCATTTATAAAATAATTCCATAACTGTGAATAATTTAGAATGGCCAATTCAGGAAGTCAGAAGCCTGTTTGTTTCAGTTCCAACGAGGCCATGTCCTGCTGCATCATATTTTTTCCACCATGATTTGTCCATCATGGTTTGAAAGCTTAACAGGATGAGTTAGGATGCACAATCCCCCAAAAGCCATAGGATCTAAAATTAACTGAACAATGTACTTTCATTCAGCTTGATCAATGAAGCAAGGAGTAAATATATTACTACATCAACAGTACAAACAGTAGTGTGTTTAAAAAATTGAATTAACTAAAGAAGCGCAAGCAAGCAAGCTTTGTTCCTCCCAAATACTATTTCCAACCTCCTTTACCATCTGGTCAACTTTGACATTCATGCAAAGATATGGAGAATAATCAAGATTAGGCTGGACATTGAATAATAATATAGTAATAGCAGCACTAAGAGTTAGATTGAACAGCTCCATCAAATTGTTGTATACAAAGCAGATAAAAACACAATGCATGCTACTGCCACAACAAAGATTTTAATCACCTGGGCATTTAAGTTTATGTATTCCCTGAATTAGGAAGCGGGTTCGAATCCCTCTTCTCTAAAATTAAAAATAAATGTAAAAAGATTTTATATATAAGATGCTCAAATTCATCAACTCTCCGGCGAAGTAGGCATGTGGCCAGAAAAAACCTACACCAAGGAGATTCAGAACCTGCCATCAAATCAATTGCTCATAAACCAGTCTAAGCAGTCCAACCATATTGACAAAATAATACACACAACACTATTAGGAGATTAAGAAATCACTTACCAGTGTGCTTCAAACACCTCAATGAGCTCCTTCATTCTCTCAAGTTATAGGCAACCATAAAAAACAATAAGCTCTTACCTTTCATTTGAGGTCTTTGTGCAGGACAAAATCGAAAAACCTAATCCAACATTGCAAAAGACACCAACACATAGTCCTTTCTCATGTTTATAATGTCATTTAATTAGGAAAACCATTGGTAGCATAGTACATCTAGCTGTGCAACAGCGTATACTAGCAATTTTCCCAAAATAATGCAACATACATATATCACTGAAAGCCAATGTTAAGGAGTCGAACCCTAACAGTCCATAACTAGATGCCATATTACATCCATTCTCTGCATCATTGACAATAAGTTTGGTAGGAAAGACAGAAAAAAGATAGGAAAACAATTCACAATTCCATTCGTCTTTGGTATGAAAGATGAAAAACAGACGGAAATACAGAGAATTAAGGGTAAAATTGTAAATAAAATATTCAAATAGAAAGTTTGGTTTCCTTCTAATTTGAAAGGATTTGATTTAGGGGGGAAAAAGTGCAAATCCATCCATTTTCCTTCCTCCTCTTCCCTGTCACCAAACAAAGTTTGTTTGTTTGGTAACAATTTTCCTTACCATACCATTATCTATATCACATGCTCAAAGGAAATGCTATTACAGGCAGTCCATTTCTCTCAGGTAATCAGTTTAAGCTGAGGAAAACAATTGATAATACTTTTTAAGTTTTTGAGTAAACATGTTTTCAAGAAGCTATCCCTCAATAAATTTATGTAAATACCAATGGACTTGTTGATTAAGGGAAATTAAAAAGACTCAAGGACCATTTAGATGTTAATAAAATAGAATAAAAATGCCAGCAATCCAGATTATGTCTTCTGCACTACTTTTTAAGGTAAACTGTAAGTTGAGGATATGATCCAATCATAAATTGACACAACCAGCGAATTAAGAAAATGCAGAAGACAAATGTTAGATAACAAACCCAGCACCCTTAATACAACCGCCAGTGGATGGAAGAAGGTACAAGGTTTCGAACCCCTAGACAAATGTAAACTAGAAAGCAGAAAAGACAAGAAAATAAGGGAAAAAAAAAGGCAGCAACAGGCATGCCGGCTAGCTAGGTTCTTGGAAGCACATAAAATAAAGCTTGGTATTTTTGGTGTCATGGACATGGCAAATTTCATAGAGAATAATAAGATCTCCACATATATTTGGTATTAGCATCAGGGTGGGTGGGCCATGAGTATGTCAAACCCTGGTTCATCTGGTCTTCCGGTTTAGGCAGGCTTCATCAAATTAGGCTGTAGGCTGGCTTCAGGCTTCATAAATCTCAGCTGTTTTAATGGGAATGGAAAGGCAACAAAGGGAAAACAAGAGCATCAGAACCCTAAATAGGGAGATTGGATAGGCTATGTTATCAAACTTGTCATACACTAGTAATGTACCGAACCAAACCAAAGAGAATTGCAAGTTATAACAATAGATATAAGAATACCAAAAGCAAAACCATAGTCTATCTGCACGTACCAATCACCAAATCTTAGTAACCATAATTTTTGCGCCGGGAAACAGGAGTGTGGCTGGATAACCTGGTAAGAGAAGTTAATGATGAAAATTGAAGAATCCTAAGATACATATACTAACCTAATCAAAACTCAAAGCCTCACAGACATGCTTGGGAAAGAATAAAATATAGACTGGAATTGTTACCCCTAAAGAAAACTTTATGTCATGTAGTTCAAATATTTCAATATAAAGTTTTTAATAGTGAAATTGCTCCCTCAGCTCAAAGCATTTCTCCTGTAGTCAATGATGATTAATACAGAAAAAAATATCTTCTGTTCAAGGAAAGAAAAGAATCTCACCCAGAAGGACCACCACGTCCTGAAGAATAGCCTCCATAAGCTCCATAAACACTGCTACTACCACCAACCTACCAATAATATTGAGAATTATCATTATTCATTATCAATGTGGAGAGAGAGAGTGAGTGGTTACATAAGAACTAATTAAAAGAAGAAATAACTATAAAAAAGAACAAGGTTTTAAGGCACTAAAATCATTTTCACTCCATAAATTGTATAACAAAGTCAAACAGATTAATTTTTTGCACTTCATCTGTCTAGAGGCACCTGTAAAACAATAAAATTGTCAAAAGAAATACCTGGGGACCACCATAACTTCCATAGCTGTCACTAGCAGCTAAAGTACTGGAGCCATAACCACCAGAATAAGTATGCCCACGTCCATGCCTCTTGTTCTCTCTACTTTCATAACTCAAACTGTCTGTTCCCTCTGTTGGCACAGGAAGATAAGGCAAAACAGGCACTAATGCAGACACAGCACCTTCCCTATCAAAAAGATTTGCTCTTAACCGTGTTGTTATTTGCACAAGGGCTTCCTTTGCAACATCAAGGTCTCCAGCAATCTGATAATAAAAATCAATGACATTAAACGACAATCACTCTGTTTGTATTAATTAAAACAACTTTGAACAAACAAATTAAAGCAATGATGGTTCTTCACCTGGACCATCTCGTCATCTTCAGATGCAATTTTTGGAAGGTTTTCCTTTGACAAGATACGAATATTAGCTTTTGTAATCCTCCTCATTTCAGTTACAATGGCTCCTCCTTTACCAATAAGGCAGCCAATACGTGAGGTTGGCACAAGTAAGCGGGTTGTGAATGATATAATTCCAGAGTCTCTTTCAACCTTCTCACTGCATCTAGGTTGCAACCGTGCAGCAGCTTCAATGGTAGGTGAATATGTGTCCTCAAAGAACTAATACAGCACAAGATTTGGAACACCATCACAAACCTAGCACAAGGCAGAGCACAGATACATTCACAAGCAGTATATACATAGCAAGGATTAAAAACTGACCTCCTTCGCTGAAATAGTTATTAAGCAATCATCTCCATCAGTATTTGTGCTATCAACTTTGATGGCTGCACCTGATTCCTGCCTGATCTGGTTGATTATAGCACCACCTTTGCCAATCACACCTCCAATATTAGCAGTTGGACAAACCAACCGAAGAGAAAATTCTTTTGATGACATCTCATCCCTTGGAGCCGAATACAAGGAGTGTGGCCATTCTCCAGTGTCACCTTTGTATCCTCCATAAGGACCCACCAATGAAGCTATTCCTACGATCTGGGCACCTGCAGCTGGGCCAAGCAGTGCACCACCAGCAGGATACACATTTGACATTGCAGAAGCAAGCAAGTGCTGAGATCGTGAAGGATTCTCATGAAGGCAAGATGCAATTTGATGCAGAGCCCTTTTCACAACTGCAGCTTCCCCAGATATCTAAAGCAAAAAATAAATTAAATATAAACAAGCCAACTGTCAGAGAACATCATTAAAAGTAAAACAAAAAAAGAAATATAAATGTTACAGGTACCAAACTAAAGAAAATGAAGGTTTCAAAAAAAGAACAAAAATAGAACAGATTAGATGCATGCGAGGAATAGAGGCAAAAGACTTGAATACTGTTTCAAAAATTAAAGCACTCAAGGCTGAAAAATTAAAGGCTGAATTTTGTTAACTCCAGTGACAAAAAACAAGAAAATCTTTGTTGAAAATGTTGACCCTAACCACAAGGCAAACATCTTGCCAATGCTTTCAATAAATTTAAACACTTCTCAGCACAAATCTTTTCCATATCAATGTAAGGCTTAAACTATGTGTTAGAAGAGAGTGGGATTGTGAAATGAACCAGCATAATCTAAAAATACCAGACAACTATCAAATAGTCAAATTACCTGGACAAGTTCATCTGTGGCCAAGGCACAAGAAGGTAAATCATCCTTAAGAATGCGAATCTGAGCACCAGTTTCACTACGTATGTTCTGAACGATCTGTCCACCCTTTCCTATAACACATCCAATCTGATCAGAAGATACAAGAAGCCGAGCAGTAATTTGGTGGCCTTCAGATTCTTCATCACTGTGCAAATCTTCTGCAACAACTTTGTCATGCACCCTGAATAAAGCATCTTGAGCAGGAGAAACAAAATTGTCACCCTCTTCGAGGGAATTTGTCTCATCCCTAGAGCTGTAGATAGTAACCACACGCTCCTCAGAACCAGGAACTGTCTCACCAATTCTAATCTTTGATTTAGTGTCTGCTCTTAATTGCTTAACAATCTCCCCTCCCCTTCCAATAATGCTTCCTATCTTTCTTGCAGGGCACAAATACCGATATACAGCATCTTCCGAAGCAATAATAAATTGTTCCCTGTCATCCCCTGCATTTCTCCTCTTATTTGATCCATTCTCAGAATAGTCAGACTGAGAATGAGCCCGCTTGCCAGAACTATTCCTCTGACCCGCCATTATTATCAGCAATATAAATACCTGTTTCCAAGACAATCAAACATTACAAACACTTACCAACTAAATCAATCTCGGGGACTAAGCCACTCACGGTGTAAAGCACCAGCATACAGCTCATCAAGATACTAAATCAACCAGAAAAGTGGCATATTTCCAATCATCAAAACATAATTTAGATTAAAGCTCTACTTGATTGTTGGTTTTACTATTTACTCCTTACTTCAACAAACAAAAAGCAAAAGGTGTGTTCGGGCACAGAAAAAAATACATGCTTTTGGAAAAACTAAAAGTTTTCACCTTAGAGAACAGCAAAATATATGAAATTGCTTTTACAAGAAAAACATTATGTTTGGATATACACTAGATTCTAACCATTTGTTCATTTTTAGTCAAATAAGTTCTTATTTTTTAGCAATTTCAAGAAAGTGAAAAGCAAATAGCAAAACTATCACTAACAACATCGAAAACAACACAATTACATAAATCCTTAGCACTCCGTCGTCAGCATTTCAACTACACAAATTCAAAGATAAACTACTAATTGCATCTCAACAACTTTGATCCACAAATTTTTCTTCCATAACAAACTAAAATCCCACTTCATATCAACCTCCAAAAAATGATATAACAGATAATTAAGAGATACCAATATAAGAAAGATTCAATAACATAAAAAATTAACATTTCAAATCAAACCCACAAATTTAAAAAGCATATATATAAATAACCTCTTAAACATTAACAAAAAACGATTTTTGATTCAGTAAAAAACTATAATTTCTCTAACCAAACCCAAAAAAATTGAACCCAAAAAGGAGCCATAATTTCAGCCAAAAAATTGTACTTAAAAAGACAATAAACAACAGCAAAAACGCAGATCTGATCAAAAGAGAATCCTGGAGTAAAAAAGAAGGAATTAGACAAGAGAAATCAGAGGGGAAATAATGGACACGGATAACGGGGGTTTACCTGCGAATTGAAATTGATTCTGAAAGAAAAAGAAGAGATTTTTTGGGAAAAAAAAGACGAGAGTTTAGATAGATTATAAAAAAAAAACGAAAGCGAGAATTTGGGGAAATAAATTTTGTGATCGTTTCGCTGAGGTCTTCGTAATTTTTGGTTTCTAGGGTTTTGTTTGACCGGCTATTTTATTCTATTTTTTTCTATATATAGCTTTATTTTTTACTTGTTTTTTTTACAAGGTTTTATGGTGGTATAATTTGTGGGATAATATTTCACTTTTGATCGAATTATGAGATGGAATAATTAATTCGATTAGTTGATGTGATTATCAAATTTCAAATTTTAACTTTGTTTAATTTGATTTTATAAGCGAATTAATTAAAATATAATAAATATATAAAATAGACCCTTTTATTTTATAAATGGTTAAAATTTTTAATTTAATATTTTTATTTGAATATATTATTAAATAACTTTATTCAATTTATTTCAAATATAAATATTTTATTAATTTAAAATTAATTAAATTAAATTTAATACATTATATTATTCAAAATTAATAACTTTAATTTGATTAATAAAAATAAAATAACAATTAATTTAAATATAAATAATTTGATTTAAAATTAATCAAATTAATCTAATGAATATCCCTAATACTTATAATAGTTTCCATGATATTTTTGAAAATTACAAGATCTCAAATCATCTCTAACTAGCTACTAGATCCGTGCTATGTTACGGAGTTGTTTTAATTATAAAAATATAACCTTCAATTGACATAAGGTAGGGAACAAATTGACCAATAGAGACTTATCAAGATCATTGTTCCTAAAAACCATTTTTTTAAGAGTTCCTTAAGATATAACACTTTTTTTTCCAATAAATGTAAGACAATAATTGTTAGGACTCACCTTGTCCTCACAATTCATGCATGCCCTTTATAGAACTACTAAATTATTTTTTCACAATCTTCAAAGTACATAAATTGAAAAAAGTGTGATTTAGTATGATTCTCGAGTTAGTATAATAAAATTGTTTTAAAAAAATGATATTAACGTATTTGTAAATCACTATCTATTTTTATAATACAATTTATTTTGTGAGTGGTAAAAAGTAAAATAAATATTACTTTGTTAGAAGTCTTATTAGTAGCTAATGAAAGAGGAAGCCAATTACCAACCTAATGCCTATAAGATAATGCCATTAACAATGGCAAGAAACTCAAAGTTGGATGCTTGGCTCCCATAGAAAACATCTCAACTGAATTGACCTTGATATGCTAGACTAATAGTGTAAACTATAGGTACAAGACACAATATACAATCAAATGCAAAAATCAGGATCCATATGCTTATTAATGCCAAAACTTAAGACAAATCTTCTTTCCCTACATCTAAGATAGCTCAATATTCAACCAGGGAAAATACAAATACCAAAGAAAACATACCTTGCTCCTATCAACCATTTCCAAAACAACATAATCATACAATGGACCAAAAATCAAACTTTGGCAACACATCTCGCATATAGAGAAAGTACCATATAAGACCCTAGAGCCATTTCAGTTATAAGTTGAATAAATCAAGGTGAAACGTATTATTAAAATTTGTAATGTCCATGCAAAAGGGGGACATAGATAAAACATTGAGCATAACGTAACGTAAAAACTAGACAGAAATGATTTGCAGACAAATATGATTCTAAAGAGAATTATCTCTACATCTACATAAGTAAATTGTCACCTAATACTACATCAAGGGTACTTAACAACGAATTTGGAACTATACCAACGTAGTTTTAACTATAACATAAAAATCATCTAATGGTTTATTTAAGTCAAAATTACATTAAAAAAATCATTAACTCATAAAAGATTAAAGATTTACAAGAAATTAGTTATCTCTACTCTATTAAACATGTCATTAACTAACAAAGGCTCCCTAAAGTAATAAGCATCACGGGCCTAATCAAGAACATGAACAAAATTTGATTAAACTATCTATATAAACTTTTTAAGGAAATGACATGCTACAAACAATTTCATTTATGAACCTTCTTTCATGACATGGTATGATATCCTCTTTTTCCAACTTTAACGGAAAAGCCAAACCAAGCATCATTGACACTTTAGTCAAGGTAATGGTAATCGTTTACAATTACACAATGGCAAATTAAAAATTTGAATGGAAGTTTATACCTAAGATTGAACTTATAAATCACATACTTTTCACCCTATCAATAAGCTCATTGAACTTATAAATCACATACTTTTCACTCTATCAATAAGCTCCTTAAGGTTTTCATTTCGAGATGTGAAAAACCTATTAGAATAACTTAATTCATTGAAAAATATGTAAGTGAATTCTTTAATTGCTTTCTCTTTAAAGAGAATGACCTTTTGAGGCTTTTTGCAACTGATTGAGCCTACAACATGAAAAAGAAAAATAAAGTTGATAGTGGTTGTAAATTCAAACTATAAATTAATATAGATATTACAATGTTCATATTGGAAAGAAAGAAGGAAAAAATGAGATTGACAATCATATGTAAGATTATTACTTCCAAATAAACCTTTTTCCTGAAGAGTATCAACGAAGCTTAAAGTCAAGAAGATAGCCCTCATATTGTTAAAGTATCAGGTGACTGTTTAATAATTTAGAATCCCTAAAAATTTATTTATAGCCTAAATGTCGAAAAATTTTATCTTGGTTATTTTGATATTATATGCATAAAAATACATAAAGTAGGAAAATATTTTTAAAAATATAAATATGATAAAGACCTATACTAATAACACCGACTATAACAACAAATTTTGAACTAGCTTGCTAAGTAGTAGTTACTTGTAATGATAAAAACAAATGAATTGCCACAGTTACATTAAATGAATTGCCACAATGGCAAAAAGGCCTTAAAAGCCATCACAATTCACAAAGCCATAGTAAGTGTTTAAAAGCTATTGGAAGACCATATGAGAAGTTAAAAGCTTTAGTAATAGAGGAATTATACATATGATAAAGACCTATACTAAATTGGAAAGAAATTAGAGAAGCATTTATTACTTGTCAAATAGATTAAAGTTCTAAGAACTAGATCCAAATATTTTACCACAACCTTAAAAATAGTGTAACTTTACCAACAAGTGTCTGGATTGTTAACTGAATTTCATAATCAATCTCTAGAATCAAAGAGAAAAAAATTGTCACTATGCAAATAGAAAGCCAAACCCATAAATACCCAAATTTTAAACACGGATAGAAACCGATATAAAAATCAAAAACACAAAATTTAAGCCAAAAAACGAAAATCCAAATCAAAATGTCAATGCTTTGAAGGTAAAAACTAAAACCCAAAAAACTAATTTTGTGTTTTAATTAAAAGTTGGGATTGATTCCAATAGGAATAGCCTACCTATTAAAAAATTATATTAAAAAAGAACAAACTCTTAAATGTGATTACCTTTCAAAAGTTATTTCAAACAAATTTAATCCTACCAATTATAAAACAGGGATAACAAACAAAGATATCCATCAACCAATTTACTTTAAAGAAAACAATATAAGGCACATCAAAAACAGAATATTCCTCAAATAACTCAAGTAGTTATTTAGCGTCTACTTGTAAAATAATTGTTCTACCTGCAAAATAATTATAGCTTATTGAAACAAAAATTAAAGGATAAATAAACTACAAAATATATTGCAAAATAATTAAGCTTTAGATTATTTTGCAAGTAGAAGCTATAATTAAGGAATAATTATAGGAGTTGCAATTGAAAACCTCAATAATCAATCTCTGCAATAATTATGGTGCAACATACACAATAACCTAAAAGATTAGAGATGGAGAACTATTAAAAAATACAAGTTAATAATTAAGAGGTACAAATTTCTTATTTAAACCCACAAGACAAATATTTTTCTTCTCATTTAAAGTTTAATAAAAAAATACAACAATTAGGTTTATGAGCATACCAAGTTTATAGATATTCAACTTAGAAAGAATAAATTTGATTTTGCAACAAAATATAAATAAATAAATCTTACCAAAAAAGAACAAAACCCAATCACACCGAACATATACTAATTACATTGAAGCATTAATTAATCAAAACAAAACAAAAATTGAAAAATAAAAGTATTTTATGGTACTAAGACTCCGAGAGCTCTTTATTAATAGAAAAATATCTCGAGCAAAAAAGAAAAACAATTAAAATTAAAAAAAGAAAGAGCTCATATAGAAAAAAAAAAGAACATGCAATTCAAAATTAAAATTAAAGGCAAAAGAAATTTTCATAGAGAGCCATAAAGAGCAAAGATGGAAAGAGGAACTGAGAAAACAAAAAATTTAGACTTCCAACCAAATAAAAAATAATAAAACCCAAAAACTGAAAATTACTACTTTAATGAACCATAAAAGGAAAAATCAAAAGGAAGACTTAAAAGAACCTCTCCAAAGCCATATTTTTCAAAGTATTGCTTCTGAATAATGGAATTAAAGTAGAGACAAATGTTGTAAATCATATAAAAGGCTTGCTTTGTCAAATTTAGCACCATGAAATCAAAGTTCAACCCCACAACGTTGAGTTTTTTGAACAAACAAAATCAAGAGTTGAAAGCTGCAAAAAAAAAAAAAAAAAGGAAACAAATTGAATGTAAAAAATTGAAATCTTAAAGGATTATATACCTTTTTCTTTGAAAATTTAAGATGACTTGAAGATAAAACTTAATCGACCATGAAAAAAATGCAAGTTAACCCAATATTTCATATTTGATATCCAGCAGAATTAAATTCTAAGATGTCATCATTTTATTGATTTTCTCAATTGATAAGATAGAGAAAAAACCAAGAGATAGACAAGGAAATCAAAGAAACTTATAACTTTAGCGATTATTTCTTGGCAAACAAAATAGACAAAAAGAAGCTTTTGGAAAAACTTTTTTTTTAAATTAATCATTTTTTTTATATTGTTTATCTGCCCATTCAATATATATTAGGGATAGCTTCTCTAATAAGTACTAGATAACATTTATTTACTTTAGATTTTTTATAATTTCAATATAAGCAACAATATCTTTCAAAACTTTTTAATAGAGCATTTTACTTCACTTTCAATATACTTTAAATTTAGAAAATTTTAATAACAAGTTAAAAAATTATATATTTGATTTCATATTCAAATAATTATTTA